ATGGCCATAACTAAAGTTGGGAAAAGTGGAACTTCCTCTTTTAAGAAAAGAGACTGGCAACTTCGGGATCTTGTGGAAGTGTTGAGTCTAAAGCTTCTTTGAATATTCCTTCATTCTCTGCACCAACCTGTAACTGAAGATTAATTCATGACATAAGCCTTTTAAAACCAATACAGTTATAGTGTAAATGTGTCTGGAATGTTACAAGCTGTTTCTGTGTTGGATGGAAATTTTATTTTTGTAAGACAGAATTTTCATTTTAAAATTACTTTGAACATTTGGCTTATTTATTGCTTTCTTTATTTCCACATTAGCCACAATCCCCACCCCTAACCCCTACTAGTTTATACACATCCAGTACTCCTAATGGGTCCCAGTATCCCATATTCTCCATTGAACCAGTGCATTATTGCATGAGTGACATAAAAACAGGGAAGCCCAGAATTCCTTCTTTCAGAAGCCTCAAAAGAGGGGTAAGTTCGATAACAAGTGGAAATGCATGATGGGCTATGAACAGTGTGTTTGTGATGTGGCTTTTCTAATGCTCTTCACCCTCATTATAAGGCTTACTTTGTTAAAAGTAACACTTCAGCTCTAAGGTCACTGTTAGGATACTGTGTTTCATATTATACAGAAGTTACCAGCAGGTTAAAAATAAAATCAAATAGAAATGCTCTTGATCGCATTCCAAATACTTGTGCCTAAAAGAAAGGTGTTATAAAGAGGGTGCTCAGCATGTGTTTGATACCTTTCTTCATTGTTGTTCACATTCACAAATGTTTTCCTACCATCATGTAACATATTTTTGCAGTAATTTATCATTGGGTATATAGTCATCACAAAAACCATCTGACAGATCAGATGTCTTACTTGCTGACTTTTAATTGAAATAATAGTAGTTGATTACAAGACACCGAACTAAGAAGGGAGCAATTTCATTTCTTTTGTACATCAAATGCTACAGCACATGGTGCTTGCAGATTTTGAAATGCTGATTTTTGAAATGTTGCAAGTTTAATGCATTTTTCTGATTAATAAGTTGTTCTTGTTTGTCCAAGGTTCTTTTGGGTAAAATTATTGAAAAATTACTACCAGATGCCACCTTCTGAGATTTATCAATTAATTTACTGATTTATAGTGGCATATTCTGCAAATAGAATTTGTTTGGAAGAAAATAAAAGGGAAATGTTAAGTGGTTTCCTAGCAACATTTATAGTACTGGTGCTAAATGTACTGGCACTTTCCTGTTATGTCAGTGAAGCATAGGCTGCCTACTTTATGTACGTTTTATGATACTTATTGATCCAAATAATGAGATAATTGGATGCATTTGACTATATATAATTCATGATTTTCTGATCTTTGAAAACAGTATTGACTTGCTGGCTTGCTGCATCAAGAATGGTTGACTACTGTTGACTTACTGTGGAGATCAAAGTACAATGTGATATTGCAGTAAAGTTACAATTCAGAGGCTCCCTTGCTGTCATTCTGAAATATAATGAGTTACACTTAAAACTTATTTTCTTATGTTGTGGCATCTTATTTCAGGGCCCCAGATATCTTGGAAATACCCTTTCTACCACCACCATTTTTTAGAAAATCCTTGTGGTCCTCTAAGTATTTATGGAGGACAGTTTCTCCTTTCCCCTTCCGAGTCACTTATATCATAATTTGTTCTGGTCATGAGGATAATGATCATTCTTCAGTACTCAGTGAGGAGCTAACTGGATTAGATAGTTGTTGAAATGGCACAGGTCTTGATTACACTTCGTTTTTGTTGATCACTAAATGTGTTGACTCCTGGCTCACAAATCAACACCTTGTAATATCAGTAGTTCTAGAACCTCTTGCTGAAGCAAAAGATCATCTCCTAACAATTACAGAATGTTAATGGAAAATTAAAGCATATTTTAATTTAATTTTCTTAGTCTTACAATTCATTGTTCATGTTGTAAAAGTGAGTGATTTTAATGTAGAATAGTATTCCGTAAAATCAGCAAGGATTGCTAGTATCCTACAAGTCTGGATTAACTCAGATATCCCACAATATCAAATAGTTAATCTCTGTAAATCTTCAGGATGAACATTTTATTTTTATGTATTTTGAAATTCCTTGCAAGCATATTAACAGACATCACATCATCACATATTGAGTGCCTTTTCAACTGAAATGTATACTGTAATTCTAATCTCCTTGATCAGTCTTATCTTTATAATATATCTTGATTCAGTGCTTAATAGTTGCTAGTATGTGATGCTGTTTTCCAGTTTTGTCCCTGGAAAATGATGTCCAAGTGGTATTGACATGCAGAACCATTAAATACCAAATGGTATTTAATTCGCTTCTGCTTCTACCGAGATTTATCCGTGAGCTGGCGTATATCAGACAGTAAGCATAGTGATTATTTTAATGTGCCCTGTACAAGATTTCACTCAAGGCACTGGTGATCACAAAACCAGACTGCCCTCATTCTGTGCTGCATTGCATTAGATTTTCCTATCGTGATGTGCAGCGAAAGCAGCAAACAGTAGCTGTAGAATAGGTTTTTGAAAAAAGTCTTTTAAGTGTAAGCAAGTGTAACTTGCTTTTTAGTACTGCTATTACATGCTGTTTATGATCCTTTGAAATCTTAACATTTGTAAATAGTGTTAGTGCTGAGAGGTCTTTGCTCAATGCCACTTGATACATAAATAGCTGCATCATCAACAGTGATACGTAAACCTTACTTCTGTTTTCTTGGAAGACTCTAAAGGGAACAAGAAGTTTATTCTATAGCTATTTTACATCTTTGGACTTTATTGAGGTTTCTACCAAAGTATCGTTAAGGTGCTTTACTTTCCTCATTGCTAGAAATTCTAATTTTGTGTGTGTGTCCCAGTCAACAGCCTTAACAATTGCTGATGGTCATAAATGACATTGGAGATACGTATCTTCTACGTTGCTTGGTGTTCTCTGGAAAGGGTTATCCAAAGTCATTGAAAGCATGGTAGATCTTCAAAATCTTGTGACTGTTAAACCCAAGATAGGACACCTGGCATCCCATGTTCTGTTTGCTTTCTCCAAGGATAAAGTCTTTACTCTTTAAATGGCTTTATTTTTATCTGGACTAAAACATTTCTAGTATAGCACCAATGACCCAAACGCTGTTTTCAGAAAGTAAAATCACTAACTTCTAAACTTGAAAAAGATGTTTGTTTATTGTAGTTCTACTGTGATAATAAAGTAAATACCTTGTAAAAATTACGTTTGTAACAGTGATGGTAGTGGATTCTTAGCTGTAATTAACAAATTATTTGCGTATGGCTGACCAGTCCTTCATCGTCATCAAATTCTGCTATTTTGTGCAATGTTGGCTGTGTGTTTGTTTCTTCTCCTACAGTAGAAGTTCTTTAGCGTATTGCTCAAAACACTAAAATTCAAAAGTAGTTTGATGAAGTTGTGTATTAGAATTTCATAGGTTAAACTACCCATTATCACCTAGTAATGTTTAAATCAGTAATTCTTAAAGCAGAAGTGCATTTCTGATTCTGTATTTTGCTTTTCTTGTGCTCATAGTAAAATGTATTTTTTATAAATTTAAGTTTTAATCCTTATGTAGTATTTTAAAGATACATTTTTAGGCATTAATCATTTTCGTAACTGGTCATTGCATGTGAATAATTTCCCGTTTCTTTCTGTTTTCAAATGAACTGTGCAGTGGTCGGTGAAGATGGTAAGCCCGTGTGCTGATCTGTCTGCTGTACTTCTGCTAAGATAGCATGAAAGTAATCTTCTGAAAGTGTTTCCATACCATAACTGCTTTAATTCAGGTGCTGAAATACATCTTCAGACTTTCCTCTCATATACACAGTCTTCTCAATCATCCATGCTTAATGTAAGATAATTAGATTTGTGATCTGGCTGCAACTAAATCTGTGATTTTGGAATTTTAGGGTTGACCAGTGTTCACAAGTTGGTCATGATGGAAATACTTGGTGATTTCTCTTTGTCAGGAAAATTGTTAAAGCAGCATAAAATAGGTATATTAAAAGATTACAAAACTTGTGTAAAGGAGAAATGTTGAATATTGCAAAATTCACTCCTTTGAATTTAACCAAAAAATGGCAGGGGAGATAATCCTTTACACTTAGGAATATTAGAAAGCTGTTATATTAAATGAAAACCACACCTTAATGTTGTTTTGCAGAGTAAATCAGTAAAAATTCACAAAAAGACCTCTGTTCTTCTGATTATTGCTGTAGGATACTCTGGTTTTAACTGACCTGTAAGGAAGAACGATACAGAGGATGTGATTGCCTTTTTGTTTCTTTGTAGTGTGTAAAAGCACCTGAAAGGATTTTAGTTTTTTTTTTTCCTCCAGAAAGAAACACTTCTGCTTTATTTTGGAAACATCGTCTCTTGCTTTCCCTCCTTTTATTGTGTCTTGTATTCCCTTCTTAAAAAGCAGTGAGATTATGATTTTACAAGTGCAAAAGAACCAAGAAGTTGAGGGGCAAGAAGATCTTAAGAGGGGGTATTAGAAACTTGGCACCTGAGCCTAAGGCTACTTGTGTCAAAATCTCGACAGCCAAATTTCTGTCAAGTTTCGTCTTGACAAAAGAAATGCTGTCCAGTTCGGTTGGCCTCCATGGAGGGTTACTGTTATGGCAAGTGGGTTTCTTGTGCTAAAACCAACTTTCTTAGGCAGCTAGGACACAAATAATGTAACTTAACTTCCCATTATTAAGACGTGTACTGTATTTCCTTCTTAACACTGTCGGTGTCTGTCACCCTGAAGGGAAGAGTTTTCACAACAAATGCACAAGATATGTAAAAATCTCTTCCCATGCTTTTCATACCCAAGTCTTTCCATCCTGTTTATAATTGTGGCAAAAGTTTGCAGTCAAACCTTTGCAGGTTTGGGCTCACAATAGGTGGTCTTAAGTTTTTGGGGTGTTTTGTGGTGGTGTTTTCTTTTTCTTTCTTTTTTTTTTTTTTTTTTTTTAAAGTGTTTGGGAAGTAGGAGGGTTTTCCCCTCCCTGAAACATTATTTTTTTATAATGAAAAAGGTGACTTGGAATATTTGAGCAAGTTTTGATTCAGATTAACAAATTTAAGTCAAAATTTTGATGTTGTTATGGCTTTTACTGTGCTCTATGAACTAGTTTTACTCGAGGTAAAATGCATCAGAACTTTTTAAGTTTTAGTATCTTTTCTAGCAAGATTGCCGAACTTCGGGAAGAGAACTATACTAGTACTTTGGAATGAAGATCCAAAATACAGTATTTTTCTTCTGATAGCGTCCAAATCTCCATAGAATGCACACTCCAGAGAAAGAATCCATTATATACGTATTACTACTATTATATACACACCTTAGATTTTTGTTCTGACTGAAATTACTCTGTAGTAATTACTTCTGTCCTTTCTAAATCTGCTTGAAGTGCAGTGGCTGTAATAGGAGTACATGGCTCAGCTTTTCAGAAAAATAATTAAGTGTACAAATTTTGAGTTATGTCTGTGAGCCAACTGTTACAGAAGGCAGACAGAACCTTGAATGAATGCCTACGATCTGGCAGCAAGAACGTGCATCTATTCTGTTGCGGTCTTTTATAGAGCTGTGTGTCAAGTAGAGTTTTTAAAAAGGTCCATCCTGCTTCCAGCGACCACTGTCCGTGTGTGGGTATGTCAGTTCAGCTGCCCAGACACCCGCGTGTTACTTGTTTAATAGTATTTCTACTTGCAGGGCCCTGCACTAGAAGACTTCAGCCATCTCCCTCCAGAACAAAGACGCAAGAAACTGCAGCAGAGAATCGATGAACTCAACAGAGAACTACAGAAGGAAACAGACCAAAAGTGAGTCCTTTTTTTGAGTTTTGTCATGGTTCTCTCTCTGTCTGTTTCTTTTGAAGTCCTCTACGTAAGCCAACAGTGCTCAGAAGCTAGGAGAGTATGCTAGTCCGAGCTATTACAAAGCATTTTTTAGTTCATGGTTTATTGTATGTAGGTTCTGTTAGCATTGCTTCCTTCTGCTTCACTGTAATATGCATTTTGATCCTAATGTAGCATAGGAAACACGGGATCTAAAAGCATGCATTAAAAAAAAAAAAAAAACCAAAAAACCAACGCGTAGGTCTGTTGAGCAAGAGCGCTGCAACTTAGTACATTAAGAACGTTATTAATATTTAGGAAATTGTGTGTAACAAACAATATGGGAAACGGTATTGAGACTGGATAGAGAAGAGTCAACAGTTGGAGTCCTTGTGTGCTTGTGCACGACAGAAGAAAGGAAGGCAAAGGGCTAAGGTGACAGAATGGCAAAAGGATTTAGGTGTGGTGTGGGGAGCAATAGCTGCTCATGTCTGTGCTTTGTATCTCATCACGGGTCAGGATCACACACACATAAACATTACTTTAGCTTTAATGGATCAGTACTGAGGTATGTAATTTTTATAATCATTGTTGGGTTTTGTATGTTTTTAGAGATGCCCTCATCAAGATGAAGGATGTTTATGAAAAAAATCCCCAGATGGGTGATCCAGGCAGTTTGCAACCAAAATTAACTGAGACTATGAGCAACATGGACCGTCTTCGGATGGAAATACACAAGAATGAGGTTTGACTCTAAAACAATTCCTTGGAAAATGTAAATGAGTGGTAATAGTTTGCCTTATGGGTTATAAATATAGCACCCAGAAAAACTACTTGGTTTAAGAAGGCACTCCTGCTACAATTTTTTTGTGGGGTGCCGTATTTTCATGTATGTTCATCTAGCTAGAGTAAGGATGTACATTATTAAAGATGTAAACTGGTTAGAAGAATTTCTTATTAATCACTTGCTCTGAAATTCATATGTGATTGAAGATTTTTTTTTTTTTCCTTAAGACTAGTGTGGAGTATAGGCTAAGCATGAGGGATAGGTTCATGCTTCACGTGAAGTAATTAGGAGACTTCACATGTGAATGCAGTCTCTGTGTGGCTGTGTAGTGACAAGTAAACCGTACGCAGTTAAGTGCATTTGTTCAATGGTATTTGCTGGTTTAGAATCAAGTTTTCTCTGACACCAATATTTGTCTTTTTTTCCCCTAAGGCCTGGCTCTCTGAAGTTGAAGGTAAAGTAGCAGCCAGAAGCGACAGGCGGCACAGCAGTGACATCAACCACCTTGTAACACAGGGCAGAGAGAGGTCACTATTCTACCTCTACTGCTTTTATACCTTATGCTTCAATCGGTACTTCTCTTTGATAGTTAATAGTAGGTGATGGTTGTTACTCATCCTCTGAAAAGTTTATGTTCTTCTAAAGGAAAATCTCACTGGTTCTGAACTCTACAGGTCACTTCATGTCATTATGATAACATAAAAAAAAAAAAAAAGTGAGTCTATCAAAACACCCGCTCATTAAATAGCAGTGCCTTTTAAAGCTATCTTATTGCATTGCATAAGGCTCACCAGTTTTCCATGTTCTGTGGAGCCAGGTTTGTCAGATTTATGTTTGTTTTTGTAGCAGAATTCGGTCCAAGCCTTTGTTAGATCAGTATTTTCAGAAAATCACCTCCGGCAGTAAATACAAAAACCGCTAACAGGCGTTCCCAGAGCGATATCCACGGTCTGCCCCTTCTGCGATGCAGCTATGTTCTGAGTTTTAGAGCTAAGAAGTCTTCAGAGTCCTCACGCTCCAATCATTGCATTGTAGCCCTGAAGGGAGTTACACGGATGATGCAAATCAGGAAGTTCGAGGCCCACCACAGCAACACGCACATCCAAATGAGTTTGATGATGAGTTTGAAGACGACGACCCATTACCAGCTATAGGACATTGCAAGGCAATATATCCGTTTGATGGTAAGGCTAGCAACATGCGCTATGATTCCTTGACTGCAAGGCAACTTGACTATAAGGCGCGGGTGTTATAGCGGAGACAGGTAAAGTGATTTGAAGTAAATTAACTGTATGAGCAACTCGTTGCTTGTAAGATCAGTGGAAATATTTTATAAATCGGTTTAATTCACGAGCAGTGCTTTTGTGCTGTTCTAAGATAAATATTAGCACAGCTACTGGCAAATGTTCAGCTTTACAAATTGGCCTATGTTTTTGTCTGTAAGCCTGTTTGACCATATGTTCTCTTGCACAGATTTTTGGTTCTTCCTGTTTATACATAATCTGGAAACTATGCCCTGGGAAAAAGATGACTTGAAATTCTGTCGGAACACTGAGATTTCTTTGCCTCTTGTTTTCCCAGGTCATAATGAAGGCACTCTAGCAATGAAAGAAGGCGAAATTTTGTACATTATTGAGGAGGACAAAGGAGATGGTTGGACAAGAGCTCGAAGACATAATGGAGAGGAAGGCTATGTGCCAACTTCATATATAGATGTAACGCTAGAGAAAAACAGCAAAGGTGCAGTAACCTATATCTAACAGTAAACTGGCAGCTTTCAGTTGTACATTCCCCAGGGAAAATAGTGGAAAAATAGTAAGTTACACAGGTTCATGGAAAGCATTAGAATATCAGAAGTCAGCAATGGTCTGTTGTTTGCAATGTGAGTTTGTGATAGTTTTTTTTCCAGACATGACCACATTAAATTATGCATCTTATACTGGTCAGTAATTTTGACCAACATTTTCTGCTTTGTTTAACTGATCTAGTTAGGAACACTAGTTCCTGCTTTACAAAGCACTCAATCCAATTCAGCTATTAAACTGAAAAAGACCAGGATTCCTGCTTTTTTTTATCGAATACTTTGTTTTTATAGAGAACTGAAAAATTACTTAAAGATCTCTAAGTTTTACTGTTCCCACTTTTATGACTTAAACTATATGCTTAAACCAGAGGGTTTTTTCCTCTAATAACTAACTGAACTCAGTTACTGAAAATTATTAATTTCCTTCCTTACAAATACTTGGCAGCTTTCACTTCTTAAACAGGAAAATGTTTTCTGATTCTGAAAGCTCAACAAAAATACTCAGGAAAAAACATTCTGATTCAGAAGGACAGAAAGTCCACTGACCTGCCTCTCGCCTTCCTTTTCAGTACTTGTAATGTAGAATGTTGTGTATTGGACACAACTTTATTAACTCTAGACACCTTGAACAGACAAAAAAAAGAGACCACATGTAATGCTTGATGTCTTACTGAAACCTCTCTCTGCTCCTGAAAAGGGAATGATTTTATGTTCTTAATCTGTGCCTGTAAGCGAAGTCTTTTAATTGCACCATGTTTAGCTTGAAATCAAGGTCTGAAATGTACGGTAATTCCCCTCACTGTTAAATCACTGAGGATTAGAAACTGCATTGCACTACTTGATTACTAGAGGAAAAAAAACCAAACAAACCCAAAGCTAATTAAAAGCTGTGGCTCGTATTTCTAATGAGAGTTTGTGGAATTAAGTACAAGGCTAATCTATAGCCACTGTGAAATGGCCTGTTAGAACTGAGCACGCTCCTCTGTCTTCTAAAGGCCTTCAGTAACTTTGTTCTTTTCTTTTTCCTCTTGGACTGCAGGTTCCTGAAGCGGGTTTCTGAGAAAATGGGCGAGATCTTGAAGGAGGTTACATGCAGCTGCTGGGGGGGCGGGAGGGGGGGACTAGACTGGGAGGCCCAAGGGGAAAAGCTAGTTGCATGAATGCATGCAGACATACATTTAGTCACTAACATCTTAGCATCTCCATGCATAGGTAAGGATGTATTACAAACTCTTTGATTTGTGCAGGAAAATAGAGTTCCATGACCAGAGTAAAAAAGGCTACTGCTCCTAAAAATTGCTTTATTTTCATCGTCCTAGGTTGTCCCAGATGCACAAGCTATATTTTAGCTTGTGCTATGTTTTGGTTATCATCTCAGTCGTGCTCTTTTCCAACTCATTTTAATCAGCAGCCATTTAGAACCATATGTCAGTTATCAGTCTGCCTGTGCCACCTCCACGCTCGCCCTTAACCTCCTCCTGCATGCCTAGGACAGTCGGGCATCTCTGCGTAACACTTCGCCATCATTGCTTGTCTGATTTTGTAACAAATCATTTTGTTTGAATATCTTCAGCACTAGAGTTTCATCCCAGTATCCATGTATGCTGCTATAACTATACCACTGCAACCATCATTACATTCCAGTTTTTTTGGCATAACCCATAAGAGACCATAATAATGTATTTGTGTTGATTGGGGGAAATAATACATCTCGGCTCTAGCCTACAATGCAATCACAAGCGAAACTCCTAGAACTGTGGTCCGTCTTCAGCACTTCGGTAACCTGTTGTGAGCACTGAAAACCTGGAACACCAGAGGGATTCACCACTGCAAGCCAACGACTGTTGCAGATGTCAACCACTTGCCATTCAAATGCTGCCTTAAACTCGAGTGCCTAAAAAAAAAAAAAAATCTGTTGTTTGCCAACACTACCACAGTATCCCACAAAGGGCTTTGCGTCTCGGCTCTTTCCACAGTGCTGCAGCTGCTGAGGTAGCCATGGTAGGTGTTTTCTAGAGCTCTACTTTACTGGATACATGGTGCATCATGAATTTTATACATTGAAACGCATATCTCTTCATTTGACTTTAATATTTTTTAAAATATTTTTATGGAAACTGTCTTTTAGTTTTTGACTATGAAGTTCCAATTCTAATCACTGCAGTGCTAGTCCATTCCCAGGTGATGCTTCATTGTATGGACCAGTTGAAATTCGAGTGATACTTCGTAATGATCTATGTGCACTTTTACTTGTAAACAACTGAAATTTGGATATGTTTATACGTGTAAATATAGTTGTCTGCAGTGCCCCTATCGCTTATGTTGTCTTGCCTCCCATTTGTGGTTCTATTAATAACTACATCGTATCTGATTTATTAGGGTGATAAGGATTAGACTAGAGGTGTTGGGGGGGGGGGGGGGGG